CACGTTAGAAACAGGAAGTTCTTCACGTTAGAAACAGGAAGTTCCTCCAGGAGCCGGATGTTCCAGCTGACCACAGAGAGCTGAAAAAGTATTCACCCCCTTTGTTTCTTTTCCGATGCCTTAAAACTCAAATTTTAATCCATTTTCTGCAAAACTGATTAAATTTTTGTCATTTTTTAAGGTGAGCCGACTCTGGCGGCCATCTTGAATCTCAGATTTAATTGTAGATTCCAGTGGTTCGTGAGTTATTTTGCTAACAGACCTTTTGGCACCTTCGGTCACATTGATTGGAACGAGGAACTTCCTGTTTCCCTCCGTTCATCCAGTGAGATTACAGATTACCATCAGGCACTTCGTCGTGGTCGTCATCGATGCCCCTCTTCACCACTCGGGGCCGGGTCTGCTCGTCCTGAGTCGTGCCCCACTCGCCCGGCGCCGAGGAGGGCTGGAACTGCACGATGACCTACACAAACAAACGTTTGTTTTCATCATCGCCCAAACAAACAAACGAAGACGACGCGTTCTGACAGGACCCACCTTCGGGTTGTGCATGACGATGGTTTCTCCGGACGGGAACTCCAGCCGCCGGTGCCACTGATTGGTCGACACGGCTTTCTTATACTCCGCCTGAAGTCGGCAGAGTTACTGATTATTATTTATTTGTCAAAGTAAATAAAAACAACGCAGATCAGCATCGTCTTGATGAAACATGCAAGACCTTCCCTGAAAAAGACGCTTATGTGGAGCAGATGTTCCAAAACCTGCAGATGTTTTTCTTCATTTCCAGATGTGTCAGCTGCTCGTGACAGAGGCACTAATGTACCCCCATACCATCAGAGAGGCAGGCTTTGACACCAGGCTGGATGCCCCCTCTCCTCTTTAGTGCAGAGGATGTGGCGTTTGTGGTCTCCAAACAGAACTTCAGATTTGGATCCATCAGACGACAGAACAGTCTGGTCCAGAGAAGACGGCAGTGGTTCTGGATGGTGTTCACATCTGGCTTCTTCTTTGTCTGATAGAGCTTTAAGCAGCACCTGTGGATGAACTGTATTTACAGACGATGCTCTGTGGAAGAGTTCCTGAGCCCTGAACAGAACCAGACCTGGTTTTAGGCCCCTGAGGGAGATCACGACCATCAGCCTCGTCCTTTGATCTCAGAGATTTCTACAGATTCTTCTAATCTGTTGATCAGATTATGAACTGCAGATGATGGAGATTAAATTCTTTATCCAGGAACTTTATTGTGAAATTCTTCCACTCGTTTAAGGCAGACTGCTGAACCTCTGTCCATCTTTACTTCGTCTCTTTTTATCCCTCGTCCTCTGATGAACCTCAGACACTGAATGCTCCTCCAGCTGCTCATGACAGAAGCACTAATGTACCCCC